TAAACGTTACAATGAAAATGAAGACTGTGAGAATGAAATCGCTGAAAGTATTCTATCAATACACCAAAAGAGGAATTAAAAAGCGAGGAGAGTGACGAATATGGCACATCTAACATTGATCGAATGACTAAATAAGATGTCAGAAAATTTTTTGATGGGTTACGACGATATTTCATGCAGGAAGGTAATGAAGGTAGTCCACTGGTCACTGTCTGCACTAGATGCCTGATTAATTTTGTTTACTCACAGTCAATCAAAAGGACATGGCAGGATAGTTTTCCGGGAATTACTATCTGGAATCAGAATTTAAAAAGTAAGTACGCGCATGTTTGTCTCATAAATGAAATGTTTAAAAATCAAATAGTTTCTCTAATTTGTTGTGTATTTTGATTAACAAGATTCGATTGAATGACTTTGAGGGAAACAGACGTATCGTCGGAGAGGCCATTAACAATGCTGATATTAACGGTGAGGAAAATAAAAACAGTTGAACATGAATATTTAAATGTTAAATTAATTTATTACATTAATACTAGTTCAATATGTATTGCAATATTAATTGATTTGAATAAAATACTTGAATAAATTTGTTGCTCACTGAAATGTTAGTTTATTTTTGTATATCCTTTCTGCTTATTTAAAGAGGAAACTTAACGTAATTGGGGCAACCGCCTAATCGGGCCAAAGTATTTTAGTCTTGATGTGTCGCAATTAACCGAAGCAGTCTATATTACCAAGACATTGCATGCCTATTAGAAATGTGATTAACTGCATCTGGTTCGACGGATTTGCATCTTAATTATGAGTGAAACAGGCAACGAAATCAGCTCAAGTAAGTTTCAAAAGAACCCCAGAAATGCACAGACAATTACCCATTCATGAGACACGTGTTCTCCCGAATCCTCGCCACTTCACCGCTGACCACGGCTGCGCGTCTGGTATCGAAGCATGCGACAGCCTGTTGGACAGAGACAGGCACCAACTTAGCGAAGATGTCCTTGAAACGAGAGCTCATCGGCGATGAGGGCGCGATCGCATGAGCGACAGCGAATTTTGGGAGAGCTGGCAGAGTCTTTAAGTCCGGCACGCGCTCATGGTAGATGAAGTCATTGTCTTTCTTTGCGGCGTCCAACGCCTTCTGGATGGTCGCTGCCTCGGTACGAAACAGCGGCCGATGTACGGAAGAAAAACACTGCTGAGCC